CAAGCTTCCAGGAAACTCTTCGCCGCTGGGGTGGATGGTCGCAGTCCGACGCAAGACTCAAGACTCTATCCGACTTGCAACAGAAAAACCACTGCTTGAAGACATTGAGACCGTGATGGCAAGCTGCCACTGAAGCCCCGAAGGGCGCTACGGTCTTCTGCCATGCTACCACCTCGGGATCTAACCATAGCGACTGGACACCGGATTCTCCATGATGATGGTGCCACCGGAGGCGGCGACCAAGGCCAGAAGATCGCGGGTGCGAGAATGTAGCAAGGACCAAGGAAGAGCGTTTCAACTCGTCTTGACCACGGCTGGAGAGCGAGGGACAGCCGGTGGGAAACCTCACCGCAGGAGGGCCGCCCGGACGCAAGCGTGCGCGAGAGAATGACGCACAAGGCGGTGCAGCGAAAGCAGCGCCGACCAGACCGCAAGAGCAGAGTTCCCGGGAAGCCAGATCAGATGCCGGTGGGACCAAAAGGTCAACCGGAGAAAACCGGTTCGCTTTCAGACGACTAAAGGCTTGAGAAACCGGTGCAGCATGACCCGAAAACAGGTCTAGCAGAAACCGAGGCGGTGGCAGCAACGGGCTGCGCAGAGCCGGGAGTACAACCGGAATGAGGCGAGGCCGGAACCGGGAGAGTCTCATGGTGGGCAGACAGGGAAGTGGACGGAGCCGGGACGAGGCTGCGGAGAAGAGGAAATGTCCTGACGGCAGAAGGCTCTCATTCAAGAACCGAGAGACGACTATTTGCGTCGAGTTTCTCTCAGCTCTCAAGCTGCAGCTTGACTCCAACCTCCGAGCAGGACGCAGCCACTTGGGGAGTCTCGCAAGCATCGTTCGGATCGTCAGCTTGTCCGGTCTCTGAGTCCACGGTACGCAGAGCCTGTTCCATGTAGCCCTGCATGCTGAAATGCTGGAAGCGGTTCACCTGTTGAAGATCAAGCGCTTTAACGACCGTTTCCTGTCCTTTGCCCTGGCCCAGCCCTTGGACTCCTCTCTCCGTCCTCCCTCCTTGGCCGAGATCTTGGCGGCGGACCGGGCCGTCTGGGAATCTGTCTGGGCCCTTGCGCGATCATGGCTGGTCGTAGGACTTCTGAATCTGAGACCGGAGCTTGAGCGGCTTCGGTGGAGAGCTTAGACGTACCCGGACTGAGAGAAGGAGTGGCTGAACCAGAGCCGTCCGGAAGCACGGCTTCGAGGCTGCGCGGGGCGCGGGGCTCCACACGGATAGCAGCGTGCACGACGTTGCTCCGGCAATTGTGGAGAATCAAGGAAGGGGTCGAGCCCAGGGGGATGACCACAGACTTCTGTAATTCTTCTTCCGAAGAAGATGGGGAAGCACGGGCGGCAGACGCAGCCACCATCTGCGCTTCGGGGTCCGAGACCCGGTCAGCACCACGCTCTTGTTCCGAAGAAGGCGGACGGGGCCCGGACGGCGGAGTCGGGCAAGGCAAGAGACTGCAAGGAAAGATTGAGGCGGGGGAACGCCGAAAAGTTCGGCTCCGAGCCCAATGGCGTAGCAGGGGAAGCTGAACGGGGAACTCCGGTAAGGGTTCTCCTAGCCCCCGAGTCGTTCAGAGCAGAATAAAACCAGAAGGGCGGGCAGGAGAAAAGCGGGGCAGGACGAGATCTGAAGGATGAGGTTGGAAAAAACCCGCAAGCAGAAAAGCGGAGGAACACAGGAGCGAAGCACAAAAGCAGAGAAGCAGAAAACGAAAGCAAACACAGGTAGAAGGCGGAAAATCAGATAAGTGGAGGAACAGAAAAGGATCGCAGACAAGCAGACAAGCCGACAAGCGGAAAAGCAGAGAAGCAGAAAAGCAAAAGCACAAACAAGCAGAAAACTACAAGCAAGCAAAGCAGCAGGTAGAACGGCAAAACAGGAGCAACACGTAGAACACCACACAAACAAAATAAACAAAATATAACAAAAAAACACGTACAAACAATAGACCTCCCTGCAGAATTTGCGGAGCAACCTGGAAAAGTATTGGCTCCACAAGGCTGCAGGAACGCAGCGATCTCGGGCGACGGTTGAGTCTACGTGGCTAGCTAGGCTAGTTGTAACTTTCTGATCCGTTGGCTTTTTGTTCTTACTTGTAACTTTTTCGCTTTGGAGGCCTGCAGGCTCCAGTAGCCACTGGCATGTTGCAAACCAAGCTCTGAACCCCACACGAAGATTCTGGGTGGCAAACCTGCTCTGATTGTATTTGTAGTACTAAACCCTAAACCCAAAAGACCCTAAACCCTAAATCTTAAACCCTGCCGACTAACACTGTTGCATGGCTTCAGCAGAAAGGGATGTGCCAAATCCAAAATCCGTGCCAAATCAGACCTGAAGCATGGGACTTGACAAGGATCCCACACACGCGATGGGCACCACTCTAGGTTATTGCACTCAAAGTCAGCACCATCGAGTTGAACAGGAAGTTGCACCTGAGTCACGCGAAGGCAGTAGTAGCTACGGCCCCGCTCCCAGCAAGATGCTCGTACTGCATGCTCGGGATGGTCCATGCAAGTACAATCGACTGCTTGCAAACTGCGGAATCCAATTTTTGCCCTGTGGCATAAGCCCCCGCATGTCACAGACAGGCTACATTCACTATAATGATTGCGTTCCTCTCACTGCAGTCTTGACACTGTCTTGGCACTTGCACAGTGGCGAGAATGACGCTCGAAGATGTAGTCCGGGGAGGGTGTACGATCAATACGGGAGCCGAAACGAGTCTGGCTCAAATCGTGAGGATCCTTCTGAGTAGCCTGAATTGGGCACACTCTGGCCATCTCCCAAAAACTGTCACAAGCCGTGGCAACTCAACAGGCTGCTTCTTGCCGCTTCTTGCCTTGCCCTCCCAGTGTATCTCTGGGCTGCTGGAGCGGGCCCGATCCCCTGTCAAGGGAAGATCCGAGCGGACCGTGGAGTTGACACAAAACCCCGTGCTTACAGAACTATCTCCGTTGCCAGCCTGTGGTGGAAGAACTGCAGTCAGAACCTCAAAGCTCAAAGCAGTGCTGCAGCCTTCGCGCAACTCCCCAAATCCACGTTTCACATCAGCCTCCTGGACCGGTGCACAGATATACAACCACACAAACTAGTGCAACTCAGCAACCACTCATGACCGCAGCGCAGAGATTGAAGATCGAAGCGACGGACGAAATGACAGAGCCAGGCTTGATGCGCCACAACGAGGATCGCAAGAGCAGGCCAAATGCAATCAGCTACCAGTCTTCGTGTTCTTGCAGAGTGGTCTTCAAAGCGCACATGCCTATGCGTGCTGCATAACTGAGCCTCCCACCTGATACATCGATAGCTTTTTCCACACAGGTCTCCTTGAAATCCACGCAGTTCCAGTCTGCACATGCCCTCTCGTAGGAGCACGAGCTCCAGCCAGACCAACCGAACGGCGCTCAGCAACTCCATCGCAACTCAGTGCTTTCACAAGCTTTTTCTTGCCATCTGAATCTCAAGCAGAAGCAGGTCGGTTCGCGCAGCTACGAGGTGACTTCAGCACAGAACTGGGCCTCGCCCGTACTTGCGGGCATGATTCATTATCCCATACACTCTCAGAACTGGTTTCGACAAGATAAGATCCGAACCTGATGCCCTCTGATAATTGCGACTGCGACATGTAGAAGTAAGGACATTCCACGGGCCAGTGATGTGTAGGGCGCTGGTCCTGTAAGAGTGACAAAAGCAACCCGACTTAACACACGTGTGGCAACAAGCTACATTGCTGCAGGCGAACAAAGGAAGAACCACATGCCCGTAACCATATCACTCAGCCCCCATCCACATCAGAATAGAAAAATGAGTCAAACGAAGACGCCACGCCTGGAGCATCACCTTTGCCGCGGACCAACGAAAGTCCCAAACTTTAGGAATCTTCGCAAAAAGATCGTCAGCACAGCATAGCAGTAGGAACATGGATTCCGCTCCTTCTCGGCGATTTGATCCCATTCTGGGGCGAACTCTGGCGACTGCGCCTGGACCCTGCGAAAACCGCTTCTTCACACACAAAGAACCCGAATGATACGAACTTTGCTATTGTTGCTCAATGGAAACTAACATCTGCAGCTCCGAGCCACGAGCTGAGTTCCGGCACCATCCAGCAATGAAATTGATACACGTGAGGAATCTAAAACATCATGGTTGTATCATATGAGGAGCTCGAACCCGTTGTGCTACAAGCCATCGTGGGAGGAGGACCAAGCAGAATCGGTCTCCTTTCGCATCGGAACTGAAATGCTACGAGCTGCTGGTGTCACTGGTGATACGATTACACAAGGGCAACTCCATTGGTCCCTCCACTGTGCCATCCCCCTGCCGCACTGTCTGCCTCTGCAACACCACTTGGTCTTGTGGGGTGCCAAAACCGCAAACATGGAATCGAGGCATCTAGGCCATTTTGGAATCGTACATGATTTTGTCACGATCATCTTTTTCATGCTTTTGCCATTGATACTCCTGCTGCTTGCCGTTAAAACGGGACAGCGCACTGAGGCGGTGAAGTCTTGGGTGGATCGAAAAACTACACTTGCGGCGGACAGGACTACGTCCCATTATATGTTGTCGTCCACAAGCAATCATGGCAATTTCGACTCTTGCGTGTCCGGGCTTGATGGAAACTCAAAACGTTTTCCCCGAGGCGTCCATGGATCGCCTTGGGTAGGTAAGGAAACCACAACAAGCAAAGGTTTACGCGCACGATTCACGCTGAGCTAAATTGACGAAGTTGCGACTAGTGAGGTTTCAGAAAACTTAGTCATGTACCAACATGGCTTGCAAACATGTAAGCCACAGGCCAAGCTTTTCTGTACTTTTTTTAACGTCAGCCGTCACGGCTCATGCTAGCTGCACGCTATACCACTACTATTGCTGAATACTACTACTACTGCTGCTGCTGCTGCTACTTCTACTACTACTACTAAGTATACTACTACTACTACTACTACTACTACTACTACTACGACTACTACTACTACTAATGCTCTACTATATACTCTACTATATACTCTACTATATACTCTACTACTACTACTACTACTACTACTACTACTACTGCTACTGCTACTACTACTACTACTGCTACTACTACTGCTACTACTACTAATGCTGCTACGAAGGCTACTACTAAGGCTACTACTAAGGCTACTACTAAGGCTACTACTAAGGCTACTACTAAGGCTACTACTTAGGCTACTACTAAGGCTACTACTAA